CCTCGCCGCCTCCTGCTCCTCTCTGGCCCGCATCGCATTCAGAAAGCCACAGGACAGGACAGTGTCAAGTGAGCGCCTGGGCCTTCGAAACCAATTCTGTAGGTATGGTAAAAACTTAACCAAGTTAACAGTGTTTGCTTTTAATTCTGCTACACACACCGGGAGGGTCCACAGGAAGCACCCACAACCTAGGTAACTGTTACAGGCGGTCGCTTTCCAAGCAGTGATCAGTCTGTCCTCAGTGTCGCACATCGTTCACCCCATTTAAGTAGCTGGGAAAAAACAGATCCAAGCACCAGGTTTCCTAAGAAACCAGTACACCTGCACACCCCTCCTATCCTGGACCACATCATCCATGCCTTTTTTGGAAACGGAAGTCGCTGGATCAGGGTCTTAGCAGTGTGTATTTAGAGCGGTTTGAGCTAACCCCATGACCTTAGCAACAGTGAGGACTGTCTGCCCAAGCTCCAAACTTGGAAAGTGAATTTTACTCATTGATTTTGTTGGTGGTGGTTTTTAAAGATCAAACCAACTTTAACCCAGGAAAAGAAAAATTGGCTTTCTCAGACTTAGGGAGCATTAATGTGAAACAACAATGAGGAACTCATTCCTTAATGTGCCTGTATGGGCATTTTAATTTGCCACAGTCACTACCAATAAAATCGGCATGTAGTAAGATTCGACTGTGTAATTGCACAAGGTAGCCAGTTTTTTATTAGTAACAGGCAGCAGTATGGAAATTTTAGATTTTGGTAGAGGATAATTGCTGGAAGAAATACAGGGGACTTGGTCTAAATAGGTTGCACTGAACATGAGGGCTGTACTTCCGGGATGTTTGTGCACAGGGAAAGCATGCTTGTCTAGTTATGTAGCTAATTGATGTTCAAATCAGCTGCATTCAGGCACAAGGACCTGCTCCAATCTGTTGAGTTTTTATAAATAACTGGCTGCTTTCTCCTCCATCCTTGGCAGAGGTCAGAAGGTAGAGCAATCCCCACTGAAACCATGGCAGTAATGGAGTCTTTAGAAATGAAAAGATCAAGATTCATACAATCACCTCCCTTCCCCAGGTAAAATTTAGAGACTGCATATATATATAAAAAAAAAAAAACCCTAAACCAATCTAATTGGAAGTTAACTGAATGCCTGAGTCAGACCTGGGATTGTTTGTTATACAGTATGCGGGATCTCAATGAAGGAGGCCTCTTCCCAAAGGAATTTCTTCCCAAGAAAACAAAAATACCTGAATATGCAGATTTGGCTCCACCCAGTTGCCCTGCACTGAGCTGCTGAGGTGGTGTCTCTGTCTCTCTCCCTCCCTCTCTGCCTCCCTCCCTCTCTCGCTTCTTCCCTCGTTTTCCTTTCTGTTTCTCCCCTGAATTAGGTAGACCTGGGGTCGTTGCTGTAGATGCTGTGCAATACCTTATGGCCTAGCTCTGGGTCTTTGGGAAGCTGGCTTTGCTGATGCACTGATACTTTCATGGTGCGACTGGCAAAAGGGTCTTGAAAAGGTTTGTAGGGGAGAGTGAGAAGAGCCGTGAGCAGGGAGGATGTATTAGTATAGTAGTGGCAATGTTTAAAGGGCTGGTGAAGGTGGAGCGCATGGAAAGAACATACCAAAAGGGATAGACACACTTGCCTGCCTGCCTGCCTGCCAGCCAGCCTGGGAAAAATAATCCTCAATCCATCACCGCAATTGACTCCTGGTTTCCTGGAACCCGGGGCCGGGGGGGGGGGGAACAGC